CATCATTTCCATGTGAGCCAGAGTGTTGGAGACGTGTGGAGACACTTTAAAAAATATTCCATCCAGTCCTTGTATTTGCAGAGGTCGCTGGTGCTAGACTAGTGCATGTCAATGGCCATAGTTTATCTTGCCACTAAAACCAGTCTTACCCACTCCACAAAGTGCAAAAAAAACAACAACAATTATTACACCAGACTGTCCATGTAAATATCTGTGTCCAGAGAATTATTCTGAAGTAAAGCCAACCTTGCATTTGAAGGATTTATGTCTGAGCAGCAGCAGTCAGTTGTTCTTCCTGACAGAAAGCTTGGCAGTGGCGGATTGATATATGAGAAAATAGTCCCTCAACATGTTGCGATTCATGCGATGCAAGGTTAGTTTTATTTCAAACATTATTCTGTCAACACAGACATTTACATGGACAGTCTGGAGTAATAATAGATTTGTTTCGGGTGTTTTGTGGAGTGGGTAAGACTGTTTTTAGTGGCAGGAAAACTATGGCCATTGACATGCACTAGTCTAGCACCAGTGACCTCTGCAAATACAAGGACTGGATGGAATATTTAAAGTGTCTCCACATGTCTCCAACACTCTGGCTCACTAGGAAATGAGGCCCTATGTCCAAAATTCTGGACTGTCCCTTTAACCACACCTGGTTACATGTTACAGTTACGCAACTACTTTTTCCTGGTAAAAACTACTACTTAAAATCTTAAAATGACAAGTAGTTCCTTTTTCAATTCTGCACAATGTTACTTTTCTGTGTACGCACGCAGCCTGAGCGTTGTGCCACCTTCACTTCAGGACTTTCCTGGACGACCCACAGCCTCGGAGGAAGTGCACTCGGCAGGATCCCGGGGGAACAGTTCTTTTCAACTTTCTCTTACTGCACTCGTCGACTAACGGTCTCGTGCCAGTATTTAGTCTTGGATTGAGTTTACCACCAAAAAGTGACCAAAGTAACAAGTAATGTAAATTAAAACATTTAATTATTAAGTCAAGTAAGGCATTACTTTTTTAAAGAAGTAACAAGTGATGCACAAACTGTACTTTTTAAAAGTAACTTTCCCAACACTGATTATTACTGTAACTACTGTTACTACTACTATCACTACCAACTACTATGCCTACTGCGACTACTACTACTATTACTACCAACTACTATGCCTACTGCGACTACTACTACTATTACTACCAACTACTATGCCTACTGCGACTACTATGACTACTACTACTATTACTACCACTACTATGACTAATACTACTGCCACTACTGTTACTGTTACTACTGCTACTATTACTACTACTATTTCTACTACTACTACTACTGTTACTACTACTACCACTACTGTTACTACTACAACTACTACTACTATTACTACTGCTACTACTACTATTGTTACTACTGTTACTACTACTACTGCTACTACTACTATTGTTACTACTGTTACTACTGTTACTACTACTACTACTCCTGTTACGACTACTACTGCTACTGTTTCTACTATCACTACCACTGCTATGACTACTAGTACTACCACTACTGTTACTGTTAGTACTACTACTAGTACTACCACTACTATGACTACTACTTCTACTGTTACTGTTAGTACTGCTACTATCAGTACCACTACTATGACTACTGCTACTAATACTACTGCTACTGTTCCTGTTACTACTCCTAGTAGACCTTAAAAACACAATAATATTTCACTAAAAAGGATTATGTAATTTAATGTAATATAATTCTGTGTAAATATGATTCAGATAAAACGTGTTTCTACCAGCTGATCCTTTACATTTTTTGTGAATAATGAAGTTAATACTGTGTAAGTTAGACTTGAAACTGTCCTGCCTGTAGCTGCTCACACGTCTAATGCCTGGAGCCTGGAGTCTGTCCCTGATTAGATCCAGAGGTGAGTGTTCCGACAGGAGCGACAGGAGCAGAACAGGAGCACTTTGAGTGGCAGGAGCTTCCTGTCTCTGCTGGAGGACTCGCAGGAATGTGTCTTATGTAACCAGAAGAAGAAAAACAGGCCAAAGAAAATACTGCAGAAGAAATACAGACCCAGAAAGATCTTAGAGTGACAGGGTCAGACAGGTGAAAGGAAGGACGTGTCAGGGGGTCAGACAGATGAAAGGAAGGATGTGTCAGGGGGTCAGACAGGTGAAAGGAAGGACGTGTCAGGGGGTCAGACAGGTGAAAGGAAGGACGTGTCAGGGGGTCAGACAGGTGAAAGGAAGGACGTGTCAGGGGGTCAGACAGGTGAAGGGTCAGACAGGTGGAGGATAGATCATGTCAGGTGTCAGACAGGTGAAGTGTAGATCATGTCAGGTGTAAGGCAGGTGAAGTGTAGGACATGAGGACATGACAGGTGAAGGGCAGGACGTGTCAGGGGTCAGACAGGTGAAGGGCAGGACGTGTCAGGGGGCAGACAGGTGAAGGGCAGGACGTGTCAGGGTCAGACAGGTGAAGAGAAGCACGTGTCAGGGTCAGACAGGTGAAGGGCAGGACATGTCAGGGTCAGACAGGTGAAGTGTAGGACATGAGGAGGTGACAGGTGAAGGGTAGGTCATATCAGGGATCAGACAGGTGAAGAGTCAGACAGTTGAAGGGTCCGACAGGTGAAGGATAGGATATGTCAGGGTCAGACAGGTGAAGTGTAGGACGTGTCTGGGGTCAGACAGGTGAAGGGTCAGACAGGTGAAGGATAGGACATGTCAGGGTCAGACAGGTGAAGAACAGGATGTGTCAGGGTCAGACATGTCAGGGTCAGACAGGTGAAGAACAGGATGTGTCAGGGTCAGACATGTCAGGGTCAGACAGGTGAAGAACAGGATGTGTCAGGGTCAGACAGGTGAAGGGTAGGACATGAGGAGGTGACAGGTGAAGGATAGGTCATGTCAGGAGTCAGACAGGTGAAGGTCAGACAGGTGAAGGGACACACGAGTCAGGGATCAGACAGGTGAAGAGTCAGACAGGTGAAGAGTCAGACAGGTGAAGGGTAGGTTATGTCAGGTGTAAGACAGGTGAAGTGTAGGACATGAGGAGGCGGCAGGTGAAGTATAGGTCATGTCAGGGGTCAGACAGGTGAAGGGTCCGACAGGTGAACGGTCAGACAGGTGAACGGTCAGGATGTGTCAGGGTCAGACAGGTGAAGGGTCAGACATCAGACTCTGACCCTCCTATATCATTTATATTCGAGGGGGGCCCATGCGAGACTTCTTCCCCCGGGCCCCAAATTTCTATGAACGGCCCTGCTAGTCGATACAGGAGCAAATTTTGAGTCAATTTCTATATTAGGAATAAAAATATATTTACGAACAAAACAGTGAAATAAAAAACACCAGGATCATGTAGAGCAGATTAATACGAATATTTTAAAAACCAAAGTGATGACGTTAGTTGCAGTTACAAAGAGAGGAGCGACAGTTTTTCAACGTAAAGTCAACGGGAGCCAGAGCCGATGGAGCCGGAAGTGCCTCCATGTTCACTTCCTGTCATTTGAAAACATCACTGCAATGCAAAAACTAAAATCTAGCCATGTTAAGATGACTTGAATTAAGAAATAAATCAGTAAATTTCACTTCACAAGTAAAATTATCTGCCAATACAAACAACTTTTTGCACTTAAAATAAAAAACACAATCTATTGTTGCTTGAATTAAGAAAAACAAATTTATTCCATTGCTAGATCATTTTTCTTGTCAAGGTAAATCAACTCAAATGAAAGTAAAATGCTCTTAGTTTAAGTCATTTTAACTTACACAGATATTACTTTTTGCAGTGTTGGAGGTTTGTCATTTAGTCTTAGTATAGAAATATACAGAAGCCGAGAGGGGTCACAACAAACGCAAACGCCACAACAAATACAAATGCGACAACACGACAAAAAGCCACAACAAACCAAAAAAAAGCCACAACGGAAATGACCGCGGGACTCTATTTTAATGCAAACGCCGCAACAAATACAAACGCAAATGCCACAACACATTAAAAAGCCACAACGCATCAAAAAGCCACAACACAAACGCAAATGCGGCAACACATTAAAAAGCCACAACACATTAAAAAGCCACAACGGAAGTGACCGCGGGACTCTATTTTCCGACGGACTGATCAAGCGGCAAGTGAAGAAGAAGAACTACAACGTGAAAAGTAAAGGAACGGAGAAGTTGGTAAGTAAAAGTAATTTATTGTTTTAATCTTTATTCGTTTCACGTTGTAGTTCTTCTTCTTCACTTGCCGTTTGATCGGTCCGTCAGAAAATAGAGTCCTGCGGTCACTTCCGTTGTGGCTGTTTGATGTGTTGTGGCTTTTTAATGTGTTGCAGCATTTGCATTTGTGTTGCGGCATTTGCATTAAAATAGAGTCCCACGGTCACTTCTGTTGTGGCTTTTTAATGTGTTGTGGCTTTTTAATGTGTTGTGGCTTTTTAATGTGTTGTGGCTTTTTAATGTGTTGCGGCATTTGCGTTTGTGTTGTGGCGTTTGTATTTGTTGCGGTGTTTGCATTAAAATAGAGTCCCACGGTCACTTCCGTTGTGGCTTTTTGATGTGGTGTGGCATTTTAATGTGTTGTGGCATTTTAATGTGTTGTGGCTGTTTGATGTGTTGTGGCTTTTTAATGTGTTGCAGCATTTGCATTTGTGTTGCGGCATTTGCATTAAAATAGAGTCCCGCGGTCATTTCCGTTGTGGCTTTTTTTGGTGTGTTGTGGCTTTTTGTCGTGTTGTCGTATTTGTATTTCTTGCAACGTTTGCGTCTGTTGTGACCCCTCTCGGCTTCCGTAGAAATACTTTCAAAAGACGAATGAATTTTACAGCATCAAAATATTATTCCATCCCTCCTTAAAACACACTGTGTACTGTCAGTGATAATCTCTTTAGAAGATGGTAACAAAAAGAAAAAAACAACAACTAAGATATCTGTTTTTGCTATTAAACACACACACACACACACAGAGACAGAGACAGTAGTACGCAGATGTTTGTACTCACGTGGGCTGGCCGCAGATCTTGCGGTGGTACCACTGTTTACAGTTGGTGAAGTATTTCTTCTCCGTCCCTTTGATTTGCTGCATGGCACACACGTTAGGACTGAGGAGACAAGGAGACAGGGAGACAATGAGATGAGACAAGGAGGAGAGGAGGCAATGAGGGGACGAGGAGGAGATGAGGAGACAGGGAGGAAAGGAGAGGAGACAATGAGAGGAGACAAGGAGGTGAGGAGGAGACAGGGAGGAGAGGTGAGGAGACAAGGAGGAAAGGAGAGGAGACAATGAGAGAAGACAAGAAGGTGAGGAGGAGACAAGGAGAGAAGGAGAGGAGACGGGGAGACAGGGAGGAGAGGAGGAGACAAGGAGAGAAGGAGAGGAGACAATGAGAGACAAGGAGGTGAGGAGGAGACAGGGAGGAGAGGAGTGGAGAAAGAGAGGAGACAGGGAGGAAAGGAGGAGAGAAGGAGAGGAGACAAGGAAGTGAGGAGGAGACAAGGAGAGAAGAAGGAGACAAGGAAGTGAGGACACGAGATGGGGAGACAGGGAGGAGAGGAGGAGACAAGGAGGTGAGGAGGAGACAAGGGGACAGGGGGTGTGGAGGAGAAGAGACAATGAGAGGAGACAAGGAGAAGAGAAGAGGAGGTAAGACAAGGAGAGGAGATGAGGAGAGGTGATGAGGAGGAGAGAAGGAGATATGAAGAGGAGATAATGAGAGGAGACAAGAAGGAGAAGAGGACACAAGGAGAGGAGACAAGGAGGAGAGGAGGAGGTAAGACAAGGAGAAGAGACCAGGAGAAACAGGAGACAAGGGGAGAGGAGGAGACATGGAAGCAAGGAGGAGAGGAGGAGGCAAGACAAGGAGAGGAGACAAAGCGAGGAACAAGGAGAGAAGACAAGGAGGAGAGGAGAAGACAAGACAAGGAGAGAAGGAGAGGAGATGAGGAGAGGGAAGGAGAGGAGGAAGAGAGGACGAAGTAAGACAAGGGGAGAAGACCAGGAGAAACAGAAGGAGACAAAGTGGAGAGGAGGAGACAAGGAAACAAGGAGGAAAGGAGGAGACAAGACAAGGAGAGGAGACAAAGGGAGAAACCAAGGAGAGGAGACAAGGAGGAGAGGAGACAAGGGGAGGAAACAAGAAGAGGAGACAAAGAAGAGACATGGATGGACAGAAGGAGACAAGGAGCGAAGGATGAGACAAGGAGGAGAGGAGGAGGAGACAAGGAGACAAAGAGAGGAGGAGATAAGGAGGAGAGAAAGAGAGGAGACAATGGAAGGAGACGAGGAGAGGAGACATGTAGAAGAGGAGACAAGAACAGAAGTCAAGGAGAGAAGGAGAAAAAACGGAGGAGACAAGAAGAGAAGGAAACACAGAGGGGAGGAGACAAAGAGGGACAGAAGGAGCCAAGCAGGAGAGAAGGAGACAGGAGGAGACAAGAAGAGGAGTGGACAAGGAGGAGACAAGGAAACAAGAAGTAGCAGAAGGACACAAGGAGAAGAGAAGACAAGGAGAGGAGATAAGAAGAGGAATAGAGAAGCAGACAAGGACACAATGAGGAGAGGAGGAGGAAATTAGGAGAGAGAGAGAAGAGGAGAGAAGGAGGAGAGAAGGAGAGGAGACAAGAACAAAAGACAAGGAGACAAGGAGAAGAAATGGAGGGGGCAAGGACAGAAGGAGACAAGGAAAAATGGAGAGGAGGAGACAAGGAGAGGAGACAAGGAGAGGAAGGAGATACAGAGGTGAGGGGAAGATGTACAGGAGGAAAATTGAGAGAAGGACGGGTGGGGGGGGGGGGGGTGAAAAGGAAAGACAGAAGGAGAAGAAAAAAGAGAAAAGAGAAGAGAAAAAAATAGATAAATAGACAGACAGATGGAGAGAGAAGCATGACAAGACAAAAGAGATTGGACAAGGAGGAAAGAGAGAGAGGTGGAAAAGAAGGGAGGGTAGAGAGAGAAGAGAATGGGAGAGAGAGAGACAAAGAGGAGAGGAGGAGACAAGGAGGAGGAAGAGAGGAGATGAGGAGAGAGGGAGGAGACGAGGAGACAAGGAGGAAACAAGGAGGAGAGGAGAAGAGACAAGGAGGAGGAAGAGAGGAGATGAGGAGAGAGGGAGGAGACAAGGAGGAAACAAGGAGGAGAGGAAGAGAGGAGATGAGGAGAGAGGGAGGAGATGAGGAGACAATGAGAGGAGACAAGGAGACAGGGAGGAGAGGAGAAGAGACAAGGAGGAGAGGAAGAGAGGAGGAGAGGAAACAAGAAGGAGAGGAGGTGGCAAGACAAGGAGAGGAGACCAGGAGAGAATGAGAAAGAGAGAGATGGAGAGAAAAAAAAAGAGAGAAAGAGAGAGATGAGTTTCCAAACTTAAACAATTGCACTTTTATTTATGATCCGCCCTGAAACAGCCTTGTGTAATATCAGAATGAATGAGGAACAGAAACACACACAAACCAAAGAGACTCTCCTTGTGGTTTAGTTCTGGTTTAGTTCTGGTTTAGTCCTGGTTTAGTCCTGGTTTAGTTCTGGTTTAATCTTGTTTTACAAATTACAACATTGATCTTTGTAAACCACAAATAAACACGACAGACCCATGAATAAATCAAAGAAGAAATCACAGTTTGGTTTAGATCCTGGCTCAACCAAAACCAGAACTAAACCAGATCCAAACCAGGACTAAAGTAGGTCTAATCCAGAACTAAAATAGGTGTTAAACTGAACTAAACCAGAACTAAATCAGATTCAAAGCAGGTCTAAAATAGGACTAAGGCAGGTCTAAAACAAAACTAAACCAGGTCTAAATGTGGACTAAAGAAGGACTAAACCAGGTCTAAAAGTGGACTAAACCAGGTCTAAATGTGGACTAAAGAAGGACTAAACCAGGTCTAAAAGTGGACTAAAGAAGGACTAAACCAGGTCTAAAAGTGGACTAAACCAGGTCTAAATGTGGACTAAAGAAGGACTAAACCCGGTCTAAATGTGGACTAAAGAAGGACTAAACCAGGTCTAAATGTGGACTAAAGAAGGACTAAACCAAGGTCTAAAGGAGGACTAAAGAAGGACTAAACCAGGTCTAAATGTGGACTAAAGAAGGACTAAACCAGGTCTAAAAGTGGAATAAACCAGGTCTAAAAGTGTACTAAACCAGGTCTAAAGGAGGATTAAACCAGGTTTAAGGGAGGACTAAACCAGGTCTAAATGTGGACTAAAGAAGGACTAAACCAGGTCTAAAAGTGGACTAAACCAGGTCTAAAGGAGGACTAAAGAAGGACTAAACCAGGTCTAAAAGTGGACTAAACCAGGTCTAAAGGAGGACTAAACCAGGTTTAAGGGAGGACTAAACCAGGTCTAAAGGAGGACTAAAGAAGGACTAAACCAGGTCTAAAAGTGGAATAAACCAGGTCTAAAAGTGGACTAAACCAGGTCTAAAGGAGGACTAAACCAGGTTTAAGGGAGGACTAAACCAGGTCTAAAAGTGGACTAAACTAGGTCTAAAGGAGGACTAAACCAGGTCTAAGCCAGAACTAAACCAGATCCAAAGCAGGACTAAACTAGGAGTAAGACAGGACTAAACCAGGACTAAGCCAGAACTAAAACTGGTCTAGAGCAGAATTAAATTAGGAGTAAGACAGGACTAAACCAGGACTAAATTAGAACCAAACCTGGTCTATGGTAGGTGTTAATCAGGACTAAACTAAGTCTAAGCCAGAACTAAACCTGGTCTACAGCAGGACTAAACTAGGAGTAAGGTAGGACTAAACCAGGTCTAGACTTTGGTCCTTTCTCCTTACCCCTGCTGTCTCCCTCGGATGCGGCTGTGCTGGAGGACAGACTGGTACGGAGACCGGGCCCCACAGACCAGGACCAGGACTTGGACCAGGATCAGAACCAGGATCTGCCTCATGGTTGCTCCTCTGAACCTCGGGGCTGTAGTCCGGACTCGCGGCAGACTGAGAGCTGAATGGGACCGAGCGGGGCCGGACCGGAGACTAGGGACCCGGGGGGAGGGGCTGGAGTGGGCGGGGCTTCGGACTCTGACTCCGCCCCCCTCTGTCTCTGCCTATAAAAGTCAGACTCAGGACCCGGCTCTCCTCTTAAAACCTGGACTAAAGTGAAAACAGAAAATGTAAGAAGCTCCATCACCTGCGAACAAATTATAAAAACAAAAATTATAACATTTATCACAAATTATACAATATTTGAACTTTAAAGAGGAAAGATTGCGAAAAAATGTACTTCCCCTTGTCAAAAAGAAGAACTAAACTTAAACCAGAAGTAAGAATAAGATTAAGTTTATTCAGATCTGACCCAGAACTAAACCAGATCTCAAGCAGGACTAAACCAGGTCTAATCCAGAACTAAACCTAGTCTAAAGAAGAACTAAACTTAAACCAGAAGTTAGAATAAGATTAAGTTTATTCAGATCTGACCCAGAACTAAACCAGATCTCAAGCAGGACTAAACCAGGTCTAATCCAGAACTAAACCTAGTCTAAAGAAGAACTAAATTTAAACAAGGAGTTTTATTAATTTAACTCAGGTCCAAGTCAGAACTAAACCAGTTCTCAAGCAGGACTAAACCAGGTCTAATCCAGAACTAAACCTAGTCTAAAGAAGAACTAAATTTAAACAAGGAGTTTTAATAATTTAACTCAGGTCTAAGCCAGAACTAAACCAGTTCTCAAGCAGGACTAAACCAGGTCTAAGATAGAATTAAACCAGATCCAAAACAGGACTAAACCAAAACTAAACCTGATCTAAAGAAGACCTAAACTTAAACCAGGAGTAAGGCAGGACAAAACCAGGTCTAAGCCAGAACTTAGCCTGGTCTAAAGAAGAACTCAATTTAAACCAGGGGTAAAGAGGATTTACTTAAGTCAGGTCTAACCCAGAACCAAACCAGGACTAAACTAGGTGTTAATCAGGACTAAACCAAGTCCAATCCAGAACTAAATCTGGTCTAAAGAAGAACTAAACCAGGAGTAAGGATGATTAAGTTAAGACAGGTCTAAACCAGAACTAAACCAGGGCTAAACTATGACTAATCTAGAACTAAACCTGGTCTAAAGAAGAACTAAACTTAAACCAGGGGTAATGATGATTAACTAAACTCAGGTCTAATCCAGAACTAAACCAGATCCAAGACAGGACTAAACCAGGTCTAATCCAGAACTAAACCTGGTCTAAAGAACAACTAAACTTAAACCAGGAGTAAATAAGATTAGGTTCATTCATGTCTAACCCAGAACTAAACCAGGACTAAACTAAGTGTTAATCAAGACTAAACCAGGTCCATTTCAGAACTAAATCTGGTCTAAAGGAGAACTAAACTTAAAGTTTTATTAATTCAGCTCAGGTTTAAGACAGAACTAAACCAGATCCAACGCAAGACTAAACCAAAACTAAACCTGGTCTAAAGAAAAACTAAGTTTAAAACAGGAGTAAATAATAGTTCATTCAGGTCTAACCCAGAACTAAACCAGGACTAAACTAGGTGTTAAGCAGAACTAAACCAGGTCTAAGCCAGAACTAAACCTGGTCTAAAGAAGAACTAAACTTAAACCAGGAGTAAATAAGATTAAGTTCAATCAGGACTAAACCAGGTCTAAACAAGAACTAAACCAGGTCTAAAGGAGAAGTAAAGAGGATTAATTTAACTCAGGTCTAAATCACAACTAAACCAGTTCAATCTAGAACTAAACCTGGTCAAAGGAAGAACTAAACCAGGACTACAGTAGGTGTTAAGCAGAACTAAACCAGGTCTAAGCCAGAACTAAACCAGATCCAAAGCAGGACTAAACTAGAACTAAACCTGATCTAAAGAAGAACTAAACTTAAAACAGGAGTAAATAAGATTAAGTTCATTCAGGTTTCAGAACTAAACCAATTCTCAAGCAGAACTAAACCAGGTCTAAACCAGAACTAAACCTGGTTCTAAATTCATTCAGGTCTAACTCAGAACTAAACCAGGTTTAAACTAGGTGTAAATATGGACTAAACCAGATCCAAAGAAGAACTAAATTTAAACCAGGAGTAAATAAGATTAAATTCATTCAGGTCTAACCCAGAACTAAACCAGGTATTATCAGGACTAAACCAGGTCCAATCCAGAAATAAACCTGGACTAAAGCAGGTCTAAACCAGGTCTAAACCAGAACTAAACCAGATCCAAAGCAGGACTAAACCAAAACTAAACCTGGTCTAAAGAAGAACTAAACTTAAGCCAGGAATAAATAAGATTAAATTCATTCAGATCTAACCCAGAACTAAACCAGGTCTAAACTAGGTATTATCAGGACTAAAACAGGTCCAATCCAGAACTAAACCTGGACTAAAGCAGGTCTAAAATTTTGTTAACCAGGACTGAACCAGGTCTAAGCCAGAACTAAACCTGGTCTAATGAAGAAATAAAGCAGGACTAAACATGTCTGAAGAGGTTTTAGATGCCGTCCATGCGTGTTTGAATAATCTAGTGATCTTTCATCAACATTCCCTGGGGGTGTGATTCTAACTAGAGTCTCTGCTCTGTCTGAGACGCAATCTTCTTTTAACGCAATCAAAAAGCTGACTTCGTTGGAACTATAACAGATTTTTGCATTTCCCAACAGTTGAACATTTCACCATAGACATACATATAGAACACCCCCAGCATGACTCACCAAAAGTTAGTAATACAGTTCTGTAAAAGAGTCAGTTTGGATCATTTCAGCCCTGAAGTCACCAAACTCTATCTACTGAACAAAAGGTAAAATGCAGCTATTAACTTGAAAACTACCACTTCATGACATCACAAGGTGGAACAGAGCATCCAGACTAATAATAAAGTGTTACTCAAACATGTGTGAATGAAACAAGACACAACTCCAGGTCTGTTTTTGAGGAGGTACACCGCAAAAAACTAAATCTAGTCAAGTTAAGATGACTTGAATTCAGAAAGTTTTATCATGTTTGAATAAATTTCACTTCTGCATTTAAAATAAGAAAAACTTAAAATAGGAAACAAAATTGAAAGTTGCTTGACTTAGAAAAACACACTTGTTCCATTGTTGGATAATTTTACTTGTCAAGTTGAATCGACTCAGATAAAGTAAAATGTTCTTAATTTAAGTCATTTTAACTGATCTAAATATTGTTTTTTTCCAGTGCAATAAGGTTCTATCAGGACTTAAATTTCACAAGAGTCAGTTTTGTTTAATATAGGACCTTTAATACACTGGGCCAATCCACGTGAAATTAAAACTGGCACAAAGTTCAGTGTCTTTTCTTTGGAAGCCCATTTTCCGGCACAAAGTCATGATTGTGATTTTAAAACTCGTATTTATGACATTTAAATTCATAATTATGACTTTCAGTGAAGCTTTTATTTATGATTTACTTCTCATATTCTGTTAGTATAAATTCACAGAGGCCAAAATTTAAAACTGGGACTAAGTCATGGGCCAAACTAAATATTTATTGAAAAATGTCAACAACATCTGCATGTTTTCTTTTCTTTCGAGATATGTAATGTT